GGCGTGATCATGGTTGTGCTGGGGGTTCAGGGAGATGGCTGCGCTAGTGCTCAGGGGTGGGATGGGAGATGGCCGCGATCTTTGTTGTTCTTCATCACTTTGCTTCACATTTTTCTGATTAAAATAAAGTAGTTACAGAATGGATTAACCTTATTTACATTGAACCTTATGGGGATATTTAACTTGGCTCACGACTGATTTGGGTCACGATCAGACTTGTGGAACGGATGAAGTTCGTGAGCCCAGGTACCACTGTACTCTTTTCTTGATTGTTTTTAAGGCTATTGGTTTTAATTTTGTAAGCTGTCCTAAGACACGATAGTGAAAAACGGCATATAAAGGTTTTAAATAAATAAATAAAATTGTGGTTTCATCAAGGGACCAACAGATGTCACAGAAATGACAAGTAACCAACAGGAGGATGTTCTATGATAAGAAACCTCAGGGCTTGTCAAAGGGAAATATCACCTATGCAATGTGGAAAGGTTAAACAGAGAATGTGCAATAAGGATCTGAATATTATCTAACACACCTCCAGTAGTAAAATACTTAATTTAAATGCACATGCAATTTATGAAAGGGGAAGGGCAACATGGATGTAATAGGCAGAATGGGAAGACTGTAAACCCTGGAACTCTCAGCCAATGAGTGAAAGGGGGAGGGAATCAGCGTGCCGAGACAGGGATAAATACGGCTGTTTGAAATTGTCCAAGTGTGAACCTACTGAGATAGGAGACCCCTTCTGCAAAAGGTAAAATAAAAAAGTGCTGCTTGTATTTTGTGTTGTTCCTCTTCTTTTATTTCCAACTTACCATGTGAGTCTTAGAGCCATTTCTCACATCTTTGCCCTATAGGATGATCAAGATGTCCAGGTCCTCCTCTACATGACAAAATTTCAAGCGCTTGTACAATGCTATCTGATCTACCTGCAGTTTTCTTTTCTTGAGCCTAAACAGGCTCAGTTCTTTTTCCTTGTAGGGCTTTGTTTCCAGTCTGCCAATCATCTTTGTTACCTTTCTCTGAACCTGTTCCAGTTTGTCTGCATCTTTCTTAAATTCCGCAGAACTGCATGCAGCAATCCAGTTGAGGCCTAAACAATGCTGAGTAGAGGGAGCCAGTAATTTGTGTGATTTGGAGAACGATTGCCTGGCGACAGTGACACACACGTTGGTAACTTCCTGATTCGATTTCTGCAACGCGCTCTACGTGGGGCTACCCTTGAAGATGGTCCGGATACTTCAATTGGTGCAGAATAGAGCTGCCAGGCTGTTGATGGGGACTGGGCGTTGTTCTCATATAACCCCAGTTCTCCGTCAGCTCCACTGGCTCTTGATTGAAGTCCGGGCCCAATTCAAGGTGCTGGTTATCACCTATAAAGCCCTCAGTGGCTTGGGACCTGGTTATCTAAAGGAACACTTGCGTCCATATATGCCCTCCCGCCCCTTGAGATCAGCAACAGATGCCCTTCTCCGGGAACCCTCTGTGGATGATATTAGGAGGGTGAGTACCCGGAGGAGGGCTTTCTCTGCGGTGGCGGCCCATCTATGGAATGAGCTCCCCAGAGAGGTCCGCCTGGCGCTGTTATTTGTTTTTTGGTGCCAGGCTAAGACCTTTTTATTTAAAACTTATTTTAAGTGTTAATTTATTATGTAGGATTTAAAAAATTTTTAAGCCGAGAGGCACCGGGTTTTAATATTTTTAGTGTATAACTTTGTTTTTGCATAATTTTGTATGTTTTTGTTGTGAGCTGCCCCGAGGCTTTGTTGCGATGGGGGCAGCATAGAAATGTTTTAAATAAATAAATAAATAAAATTGAAAGTGACACTTCTGTTAATGCAATCCAAAATACTATTTGCTTTTTTTGCAGCCAGGTACACATTGTTGACTCGTATTCTGTTTCTGATCTTCAACTCCAAGATCCTTCTCATGTGTGTAGTATTGTTGAACCAAGTATCCCCCATCTTGTAACAATACATTTGGTTTCCTTTTCCTGGGTGCAGAATTTGACAATTGTCCCTACTGAATTTCATCCTGTTGTTTGCAGCCCAGTGTTCCAATCTATCAAGATCACCTTGAATCTTATTTCTGTCTTCCAGGGTATTAGCAATTCCACTCAGTTCTAAGCAGTGTGCAGCATTCCCTGCACTTCCGCATCCAATTCATTAATAAAAATGTGGAAGATCCCAGTGCCCAGGACTGCACACTGCAGTACCCCACTCCCTAGTCTCCCCAGTTTAAGAAGGTGCCCGTGATGAGCTCCCTTTGAGTCTGTAGCCAGCTGTGGACCCGCCAGATGTTTGTCCAATGTAGCCCACTTTTGCTTAGTTTGCTAATCAGGATATCATGGGGTCCTTTGGTAAAAGCTTTGCTGAAATCAAGATATATTATGTCTACAGCATTCCCATAGTCCACCAGGGAAGTTAAAAAATGATGAGGGTTAGTCTGGCAGGATTTGTTTTAGACAAATCTGTGCTGGCTTCTAGTAATTACTGCAGTAAGGCTCACTGCAGAGTGATTTTCCGGTTACCTCTCCACTGTAGAAATGTTATCTTACTTGAAATTTGGCAGGATGGAGCTTAATTTTTAATTACTTTTCATTAAGACTCTGGAATGCGCTCCCCAGAGAGGTTCACCTGGCACCAACTTTTTATTCTTTTTGGCATCAGGTGAAAACCTTTTTATTTTCCCATCATTTTAAGAATTAGACATTTTAATCGGTTTTAACATCCACAGTTGTTTTTTGTTCTGTTTTTGTTTTTACTTTTACTTTTGCTTTTGTTCTTGATTTTGATTTTTAATAATATGCTTTTGCTGTTTGTTGTTACTAATTTGTTGTTACTAATTGTTATAATTTTTACCATTTGTTGTTGTTTTAATTGTTATAATATTGTAAGCCATCCTGGGACATTTTTCTCATGTAGGACGGGATATAAATGTTTTAAATAAATAAATGAACAAATTTGTGTTGCTTCTGGTTGGAGAAAAATGGGAGTATGGCAGTTTTTCAAAATTGGAGATCCTTCCTTACAAGGGATATGGTGTGAGCAATTAAGAGAGCCCTAGCGGAAGGAGGCAGAGCTGGGAACAGATGAACAGATGAACATACACCCAGTACATCTGTTCAGCAATAAACCACAGTACTAAACCACAGTAACCTCCATACAAGTGAAGCCTAACTTCTCTCACAATGTGCTTTCCAGTCTTTGCAACTGATGGAACTGAATTTGGGTCAGTACTTGATTTGATCCAGGACTCAGCACTGAAACAGAAATGACAGGGTGCTTCTGGCCATGCACAGAGGGGTTTTCTGTCACTACTTGGATAACCAGAATCTATCTAGAGAGCAGAGGCCACATGACCCTTTTGGCAGCCATGAAAAGTTTGTGCTTTTTCCTTGAGAAATCAACCACTAGAAGAGGTGACTTTCTCAAGCAGCTCAGTTTGGAGAGAAAATGGGTCATGAAAAAGACAGCCTGATTCAGTTTTTTGACTGCGTAATCTCCCAAATGGACTATGGGAATGCAGTGGACCTAATCTATCAAGAATTTATCAAAGCCTTTGACAAAATACCCCACAATATCCTGATTACCAAATTAGCAAAAAGTGGGCTGGATAGTGTGACAATTAGGTGGATCCACAATGGGCTGCAAAATCAGACTCAAAGAGTGCTCATCAAAGGCATCTCAAACTGGGGAGAGGTGGCAAGTAGGATGCCACAGGGTTTTGTCCTGGGACAGGTAATCTTCAACATATTTCTTAATGATTTAGATGAGGTAGTGCATGAAAAGATATTTAAATTTGCAGACAATGCAAAGCAAGGCAGAATAGCAAATATCCCAGAAGACCGCGTGATCTTGATAGGTTAGAAGTTGGGAAGAGAACAGCGGAATGACCTTTACAAATGCCAAGGAACAAGAAACTAAATGCATTGCTACAAAACAGGGAACACGTGGCTCAACAATACTGCAAACGAGAAGGTTCTGGAGGTTGTTATAGAGCACAAGCTAAACATGATCCAACAATGTGATTTAACTGCAAAAAGGGCAAATGCTATTTTAGGCTTCATTGACAGAAGACTTACTTCCAATACTTGTGAAGTGCTAATTCCTATTCTCAGCACAAGTCAGACCTTACCTGGAGGACTGTGCCCACTTTGGGGCACCTAAGTTTTTAAAAAATGCAGAAAAGCTAGAAAGGGGACAGAGGAGGGCAACAAGGTTGATTCAGGGACTGGGGGCAAAGCCCTATGAGAAAAATTTCAGAGAACTGTGCATGTTCCACCTCAGAAAGAGAACACTGAGAGATGATACGGTAGCACTCTACACGTATCACAAAGACTGTCAAAAAAGAAAAAAGAAAAAAAAAAAGACAAGATCTCTTCTTAAATTGAAAGAAACCAGATTTAGACTAGATACCAGGAAGAATTTCCTCACTGTCAGAGTGGTATGACAATGGGACCTATTACCTGGGGAAGTTGGGAACTCTTCCTTTTATTATTATAGTTCAAAACAGCATTTGGACAGTCATCTAAATGGGATAGTTTAACTTAGTGTCCTGCAATAGCAGGGGGTTGTCCCTCATGGCCTTCTGGCCCCCTCCAATGCTACTGTCTGTGATTCTAAGAACCAGGCTTCTGTGAGAGCTTTCTGGTAGTTTCCTGTTGTAGTGATACGGTCTTACAAAAAGAGCTTGTTTAGAGGTTGAGATGAACCGGAAGATAGGCTGAATCTGGAACTTTATGCTCACAAAGTTGGGCTTAGAGCTACTAAGGAGAGGGAGGAGAGAAAAAGAGGAACACTTTAAGGTAAGTAGAATATTTTAAATAACCTGAAAGGCCTGAAAGGGCTGGTTTTGTGATGCACCTTGCAGTTCTGTCAGTAGCATCATCCCCAAAAGTGCTTGTAATACCAATGCAAACAGCATCCCCGCTTATATATATATATATATATGGTAGCCTTAACAAAGACAAAAATGCAGTTTTGTCATGGTTTGTTTTGCAGGCATCTTTTCTTTGTCAGGAACTTTGCCGCTGAGAACACCCATGGAAACAATGCAGTTGGTTTCGCCCAGCAATGCAAACAACCTCCAGACAGTCCAGGGGATCTCTGCTAATTTTGTCCAACCACCAGCATCAATTAAATCTGTGCAATATGTGCAATACCAAGGGAGCCCTGGAAACCCACCTCAGCAGTTTCCTCAGCTGGGGGCTCTGGGGAAGGCTGTTCTTCGGAATGCCAAGCCTCTGGGGGTGAGAATATTTGCTTACATTCTTGTCCCTGATGATTTCAAAGGTTCCTCTGCATGCATACTTTGGATGGGGAAAAGGATAGTTTGATCAGCAGCTAAATCTAAAGGGTGCCTGAAAGAGGAACATTACTGTAGATCTGATGTAGAAGGTGTTTGGACTCTTTTGGGAGTTTGCCTCATGCGTTCAAGGGCTGTGAAATTTGGAGCACCTACCTATAGCTGTAGGTAAAAAATGTGTCCCCTTCCCATGTTTGTAATCTCATTGATAAAGTGTGAAACTGAACAACTGTGCTTCAGCAATTTTTTTTGGGCTACCAAGCAAAACTAAAAAGTGTGCAGTCTTCACCTTTGCTGGCAAGTTGTAGGGGCAGAAAACCATTCATACTTTTGCTGCCCTTAGTGGGGGAAGGTCTGCACTCACTTTTGCACATCCCAGCTCTGTTGTCCAAAAAAATGCACAAAATCAGTCAAGTTTTCTCAGCAAAAACTGCAGGATAGCATTACATGATACAAAGAGTGGCCAGTTGGGCTCATTTGGATGGCACAGTAGCACAAAGAGTAATAATAGTTATAGACATCTGTGTTCCCCTTCTCCAGCATCATGCCAAGGGAAGATTAGAAGCTTTCCATTCCTGTTTTAAATTAACCCAGAGTTTATCACATTGGAACACAATGAACTGTGAACTCAGCATTGGTCTGTTGAAATGAGTCAAGATCAAACTGTGGCTTATCCTGCCTTGTTAAAACTTACTTTTTACAAACTACATACATTTTAATGAACAACATAGCATACATTGCTTACCCAGTTCAGTCATAATTATAAACTCTGGTTTGTTTAAAACAAGAAATGGATTCATCTAATCTTCCCCTTAAGGCCATGCTGAAGGATGAAAAAGGGAAGGGGAGGGCATGCCATCAAAACCCACTTCTGCTCATTCACGTACCACTAAATTACATGTAGCATTATGGACTCAGTAGTCCAAAATACGCTAATTATTACATAAAATGAAATTTTAAATTGTACTATGATTAAACAGACTAAATGACCAAACTAAATCATAATTAAACAGGTAGGCCTAAAGTGTACATCAGAACTGTTTCAGCTGGTCCTACACTAGCTACAAACCTGAGACGTGATGTACTCATGGCCCAAGACGCTTCTCTGGTTAGGATTGTAGTTGGGGATGGATAGCAGAACTATTTCCACAACATTAAAAAAACAGCCTAGTGAATTACTTGTCAAATGAGAACCTGACATGTCCCTGATGATAGTCTGATCCATTCCTACTGCTAACTGAGCCTTCAAGCTCTTCTCTTTTCTATTGTCACTCCACAACATTTTCACCCTTCCTCATATCTGTCCATTCACCTGCAAACTCCATCACACCCGCTTGCCTATCTGCTAGCTTTCGTTTTGGTGGTGCTAGCAGAAGATTTCTTCACCCCTCTCCATTCCCAGCATCATTTCCCCACAGGCTACTGACACTGTCAATAGCTCTCAGGAAAACTTAATTTCATAAGTCTGCCCCTGATTCACTGAGATCTCCCAATCAAATGTCTGTTTTACGCCTCCAACAACAAACTGATCTCTCACTTTGATGACGGTACTCAACGGTGTCTCCCCACAAGTCTCTCCTTGCCCAAATAACACTTAGTGTCATGTTTCAAAAAGGAGTGGTGTGGTGAATGCCTCGACCTGAGGATGCCTGCAGTGATTTTTCAGTAAAACAGGGTTGACACAGGGGCCCTCACATGCAGCCAATGGCCATGAGAAGTGAAGGGTTCTTTAGGTTTTTTATATTGACTCTGTCGCATGATCTGACTGACTTGGAAATGGCATGTGCCTATTCATTCGGTGCCTTTGGGATAAAGAACAGGTCTTCTTCAGCTCCAATGCTGAGTAAAAAAATAGCTGACCACACAATCCTTGGGCCTCCTGCCATCATCTGGGAGGCCATAGGATCATTCAGAGGACCAGCTTCGAGCTCCTGTAGTCACAAAACTGGGACTCTGAAAGACAAGCCTTGGCCACTCCATCAGAACCAGCACAGAAAGAAATGCACTGGATGCTGGCCACACATAGGTTGCACCTGGGCATTGGAAGAGGCATGCCACAGGGAAGGGGGGGAGGGAAGGCACTTATGCCAGTGCCTATCAGCATCCCAGCTTCCTTCCCTTCCTCTCCCCAGAGCTTTATCTGGATGCCTGAAGTAGCACTCTAAACGCCTGCTGCAAGTGGCACCCTGCACCTCATTCGGGAGGCAGAGTGCATGAAAGCATCGCGCTTTGAGGCATTAATGGTGTGGGGCTTTGGGTTGCACCTGAAATGACTCCAATGGATTTTTGAAATGAAGTTGTGACAGTTCATAGAATTGCTTTATATTCCATGTGCATTTTCTTCCCATAGGCCATACAGATCATAATTGGATTGCTGCACATTATTTTTGCAATTTGCTTATGTTTTACTGTGCACTTCAGCTATGTACACTATTCTGAAATATACAGTGGAATAATTGTAAGTACTGACATTTTGCTTTTGATAGTCAATAAGCTTCACTACCTGATTATTTTAATTTAAGACCTTTGGTCACTTGATTTCGCATTCATCGCAAGCCATTCATTCTTTGCATAAAGCAGGGGTCCTCAAACCTTTTCAATAGGGAGCCAGTTGAAAGGTGGTGGCAACCTGTGCGGGCCAGTGAGGCAGCAGCGGGTGCGCGCAGTGGCGGCTCGCTCCCTCGGAGATCTCCCAGTGAGTGCAGAATCATCTCCAAGTGAGCAAGCCACTGCCTCCCGCATGCGCAGCGAGCACGGGTGGCAGGCGGTGGCGCAGGCCAGCTAAATGGGCATGGTGGGCCAGATCCGTCCCGCGGGCCGTAGTTTGAGGACCCATGGTATAAAAAGAACTAATGATTGGTAAATAAACCACTGTTTCTGTCCCAATTTCCGAAATGTGGAATAGAAATATGTTCATTGCAAAAACAAAGTAATTCAGAAATGTTACTTCCCCTGGTGCTGAAGCATGGGGCATTTCTGAAAACTTTCTTCCCAGGATTGCATCCTATTCCTGTGGATGTTTTTTGGTTTGGGTTCAACATGGGGGTCCAGCACAGATAATCAAGGCCCTCCTTTTCAGATCATCACCCTCCCCAGTGCTGAAATGTTTTCAGCCTGTGGTGAAAGGATGTGGTCGAGAAGTTTGCACCCTGCTAACCCTAAACATTGAAGATTCATGTTTCAAACTTGCAACTTGCCACACACACAAATCCAGACATAGTTTATCAGACATGATGCACTTTGTCACTTCTGAAAGTACTTCTTTTATACAGAGAGGACCATAAGGAGCTCAGAGGACCAATGCTGTTCCTTGGTGAACTGCAATCTGGTGGTCCTCACAGGAAGGCATGTACTATTTTCTAACCTTATTCCCATAGCCACCAGGTTGGTTGTTCCACTAGTTGTTTTGTTTAAGCTACTTTAAATTAATTCTAAATTCTTTCAATGTCGTATGTCATCTGTATTGTATTTTCTTGTTTTTGTTTTATACATTGTTGTAAACTGCCCAGAGAGCTTCAGCTATGGGATGGTATAGAAATGAAAATGAAAACAACAACATTTAGTATACAGGTTTTCTTTAACTTTTAAGTGAGTGACAATCAACTGCATAGCCATTCTCCTCTCTTTTTTTAATGTTTTGACAGTTCGTTGCTTCAGGATCTGTGTCTGTGTCAGCTAAAAAACATTTGAACTCCAACTTGGTGAGATATATAACTTTTTATACAGTTCTGTGATGTTGTGAACTTCATCCTCTGTATTACATAGCCAAGGCAATGTTCATAGTTAATACCATGCAGAAGTGCATTTGTAAGAAGTCAAAAACACTGGCATGACTAGAGCAGCTCAGCAGCTCTACACTGCATGTACTGAACCTCTATTGGACAAGGTAAAAATCCTAAATCGGGAAGGGTCTCAGAGTTGCGACTGGGTGGGGCTCAGGGTACTGGGCAGGTCCATGGACAGAGGAAACAACATAGGCAGGGCCAGATTTCATTCCTACCTGTCTGGACACTCTCCCACCAAGTCTAAAAAACACAGCACATCCTTGCTGAGTCTACTCAGCCATCAGGCCCCACACAACAGCTGTTGCATCTGCAAAAGCACACCTCACACCACTAGTCTACCCCATGCAGATGTGCAAATTTGTTGTTTGACTGGTGCTGCCCAGTTACTGTACAGCTAACCTGGAGCTGAAGGCAATCGTATGTCAATGAAGTCCCACTCTCCGTTCCAATCAACAGCCGACCCTGAACCAATTCAGGCTTTTCCAGAAAGAAAAGGGCCCTGGGAAAAACCTTCTTTCGCTCCAATCAGGGTTGGGATGAACTCCTCTGGGATCCATCGTTCCAGCATCTGCAGACCCTCTCGTGCTAGGCCTGGTCCTGGAAAGTGAGCCAAGCCAAGAGGAAATCTGCAAATGCTCTCAGAAGGCAGCCACACAACTAGAAACCTTCCCCATCAGGTGCAGCCACCCAAAGAGTCGCTGCAGAACACGGAAGAGGGGCACTGCAAGCGGCTGCACCAGGCTTCTTCCGTGCCCGATGCAGTCAGTGGTGGCAGAGAAGAGGGGTGCTGCTTGCACAGCATGTGGACCTTGATCCCTGGTGAGCACCCCACAAACACTGGGAGGGCCCACCAGGAATTTGGACTCGGAGCACAATAAAGCAGACTGGAGCCTGGGGAATCGCAGAGATTCCCACCTCCAAATGAATTATTTAAAGGCACATGCCTAGTTCCAACCTTAATAAAATCTGGAATGGGGGTGCACAGGGAAAATAGAAATGTTATGTTAGGCTGGCTGGCTGGCTGGCTGGCTGGCTAGTTCTTTGATTTAGTGGGAAGATACCTTGCTAATATTGAAAAAGACCCACTTGCTCCCCGTGCAATTCCAGTTATAATTCACCTCATGAATGCCTACCTTTAAAGCCAGTGGCAACACTGCAGGTGGTGGAGTCGCACTGGCAGGGCTTCTTTGTGGACAAAACTGCAGCCAAGGAACCTCGCGCTCCCCACCAGAGGTGCACCCCTGTCCTTCCCCAGCTACCTTGGACAGCTGTCTGAGGAGGCTAGGCTGCTCTGCCTATGTAATTTTCTGTCTCATGTTGCTGCCTGGGATGAACAAGGGGCAGCTTCTTTAACCAGAAGACTTATGTTGCTAGGAAATGTAATCAGCTTGTTTCTTAGTTTTAAGCCTCTAACTGTATTTGGGTCCTTGTCAGGGGAAACCAAGATGATTCTTCATGCTGCACAGTACCCAGTAGTTTACCAGCTCTTCCGTAGTACCCTAAACAACTTTAGATTTGTCTTTTGGTATAAATATTGACTGAGGGAAATCTTCAGTACAGCTGTTTACTGAGCATGTGTATAGCTTAACATCAATTAGGAATAACTTGTTAAACAAATATGGCTCGTTTGCCTTTAAGGAGACATGTGTTCTATAGCTCTGTGTAATTCTGAGCTGCCCCGAGGCTTTGGCAAATGGGGCGGCATAAAAATGTTTTAATAAATAAATAAATAAATTCTATCTCTATTTCAGGTGAATTGCAGTGTGGGAATGAACATAATGAGTGCTATAGGAGCATTAACTGGCATCATACTGAATGTTATGTTGCTGGCCCTGCACAGCACTCTACTGCTGGCCGGGTACAACCATTTACAGCAAGACATGTATGACCCTGCTTATAAGTCTATGTATTTTTCAGAAAACGTAAGTAAACAAATTCCACAAAGGGCTTTGATTATATTGGGAAGGAATTTTCAGAAAAGAGATAGACACTTACATAATCTCTGCTTGCTATTTCCCTGCAATAATTTTCACTTGCCAAAGAGACAAGCCACTGCTTACGCTGAACGTATCTTACTGCTTTGACAAAAGAAAGCGCTTCAAGGAATGCAGCAAGCGATTTCCAAGCTGCACATGCAATTCTCCAGTGCACTCATGTCCCATCTTTCCATTTTAGTCCATGGCTTTAGAGGCTTGGGCACCTGGCAAACAGCAAATGTTTCTGGAGTCCCAGAAAATGTTTCATCCATGGCATGTTTGCCTTCTTTTAGTACATAGTCAGTACATGAATTAGTTTGAATGAGTTCAATCTCCAGGGCCTGATGAACTGTACCTAATAAAAAATAGGGTACTGGTTAGAAAACTCTTAGAACCACTTTCTATTAGCTTTGAGAAATCATGGAAAACATGGGAAGTGACAAACAACTGAAGGAGGACTAATGCTGTTTTGTCACAAGATGTTTATTAATGGTTTGGATGAGGAAGTACAGGGAATGCTTATCAAATTTGCAGATGACACAAAATTGGGTGGGATAGCTAATACCTGGGAACTGCAGACCAGTCAGCCTGACATCCATTCCTGAGAAAATTCTGGAGCAAATTATGAAGCAATCATTCTGCAGACACCCTGAAAACAATGCCGTGATTACTGGAAGCCGACATGGATTTGTCAAGATCAAATCCTGCCAGACTCATCTGATTTCATTTTTTTGATGGGGTAACCTCCCTGGTGGACTGTGAGAATGTTGTGGACATCATCTATCTAGACTTGAGCAAAGCGTTTGCCAAAGTGCCCTTGGATATCCTAACTGACCAAAATTGGGCTACATTGGGCAAACATCTGGCGGGTCCACAGCTGGCTACAGACTCAAAGGGAGCTCATCACGGGCACCTTCTCAAACTGGGGAAAGGTAGGGAGTGGGGTACTGCAGTGTGCAGTCCTGGGCACTGGGACCTTCCACATTTCTATTAATGAATTGGATGCCGAAGTGCAGGGAACGCTGCACACTGCTCAAAACTGGGCGGGATAGCTAATACCCTGGGAAGACAGAAATAAGATTCAAGGTAATCTTGATAGGTTGGAGCACTGGGCTGAAAGGAACAGGATGAAATTCAGTAGGGACAATTGCCAACTTCTGCACCCAGGAAATGATGCATTAATAGTAATATTACTCCCAAATCACATGAAGTACTAGTTCCACTATACTTAGCACTGGTTAGGCCTCATCTGGAATACTGCTTCCAGTTCTGGGCACCACATTTTTAAAAAGATGTATACAAATTGGAAAGGGTTCAGAGGAGGGCAACAAGGATGATCCAGGGACTGGAAACAAAGCCTTATGAGGAGAAAGTTAAAGAGCTGGGCCTGTTTAGCCTTGAGAAGAGGAAACTGAGGGGGGCTAAGATAGCATTATACAAGTACTTGAAAGGCTGTCACACAGAGGAAGGGCAGAATCTCTTCTTGATCGTCCAAGAGTGCAGGATGTGGAATAATGGGCTCAAGTTACAGGATGCCCATTTCCAGCTAGATATCAGGAAGAACTTCCCATTAGAGCAGTACAGTGATGGAACCAATTACCCTGGAAGGTTGTGGGCTCTCCCACACTAGAGGTACCCAAGATGCAACTGGACAACCATCTGAGAGGATTGGTTTAACTGGGAGTCCTGTGCTGAGCAGGGGGTTCAACCCAATGGTCCTCTTGGCCCCTTCCAGCTCTGCCATGTTATGATCCTATGATGTAGAAAGCTCAAGTCTTGCTTTTACACTTCCCCTGTTATGCACAACTTTAAAACCTAATCATTTGTAGATAACATAGTCAGAGTGATGAAATGGCCATGCTGGGGACTATTCTGAAAATGTTTAGAACAGATTGTTTCAGCTTTATTGCTCAACTGTGCAGGATGCCAATGCTTTATACACCACCAGATTAACCTTGCCAAACAGAAAGAGTGGTAATATGTTCCATCTGTTTCTCCATTCAGCTGCTGTATGGTTTTATTATCACGTTTCTACTGCTCAAGTTAGTGCAATTCTGCACTGTTGTTTTGGTAGCACATTTTGGGTGCCGGACAAACTGCTGTATTGATGATGTGGTAAGCATTTTCTATTTTGCTCAGAGTTCAAGCAGATCATGCTGAAAAGCCAGGGGATGATTCAGTTGTGCAGAAAAGTATGACTGACAAATGTCTTCAATCCCCTCCTTCAATGTGATGAGGAGAGTGATTGCTCTATTTTGGCTGATCTCCGACCGTATTACACCATAGAAATGTTATAATAATAATAATAATAATAATAATAATAATAATAATATAATAATAATAATAAGGATCACTGCTGTATCTTTGCGCGCACACGCGCGCGCACACACACAGAGGGAATAGTGCCCAATTACTTGTGCCACTAAATATGAAATATGAAATGCAGGGGCAACCTCATACAGGGTAAAAGAGGACTGGTGCCCCATACTTTCTTGGCCAAGGAATAACTTGATGGAATGACAAATATTGCAACAACTCTTTTTCCATCCGATATCTCTTCTGTTACAAGACGACAAACACTTCTAGCTCCCAGCTCCAATACAGGAGGCATTCCACTTTGGCTCCACAAAATGCATCCAGTACAGTTATGATTTCTTTTTGATATTGGGTTAACTCCAGGTTACTTAACTCTCAAACCTTTGCAGTACAATTCCTCCCTGTCTCTAGTAGATACTCGATATATGGGCCATGTCCTCAGTTAGCTCCTGGACATTGCTTGGAAGAATGCACATCTTCTGAAAATTGTTGAACTGGAACACTAGTTTGAATAACTGCATAATTAGATAGTATAGTTTTAAACAGCTTCATCAGGTGTGGATGCAGGCACTTCTTTTACAACTCTGTGCATTTCTCCACTCTGTCAGATCCTTCAGCCTCAAAGAGAAAAATAACTTCCAACATTAAACATATATATATGGACTTTGCTCTAGGAGCTGCATGGTAGATTTCTGTTTCAGTGAAGCCTGAAATTACTGCTCTGATGGTGATATGAAAAGTGGTGGAGGCAGTTATTCACAATGCTGCCAGTGATGCTGATTCTAACCATCTTTGTTTATTTCAGGCCATTGCTTATGTGCCCTGCACTTCTACAGGAGGACACCTGTCTCCCACTGAAGACTGTCCTGCTCATTTAACCTATGTAAAGGTTGTTCCCTACCTGGAAGTTTTGTAAAGAAACCAAAAAATCATGAGAGAGAACATGCCAGTAATCCTGTTGATCCTGCAGTTTCAAAATCCCCTTTCAGTATCTGCAATGCAATATTCTGCCAAATGCTAGGACTGCAAGGTTTGGTAGGTGTCATGAGGAAAGTGGCTACAAGAAAGGGACTTTTCAGTCAGGAAGTGTCTGTTCTAAAGGACCTTATACCTTACCTTAGGAAGTTAATCAAGTATGGACACAACAATCTTTTAGACACAAGAAGTCCTTTTTATTCTATGAGAGCTTTAAGTTACTGCTTAACACTTTTAGATCTTTTGCTGATTTTGCTGATTATCTTATTTTTACTGCTACTTTTACTTGCTTTTATTAAATGTTCCTAATTTTATACTAGTTGTGTTCTATGCTTTTTTCCTAGCTATTTTAAATGCCTATTTTATAGTCTATATTATAATGTTTCGGTATACTCCCACACATTGTTTGGATGGTCTAACAGTGTAAAAAATAAATGCGTATATCAATAGGCCCAGACCTCAACTAATTCATAGATTCATAGAATAGTGGAACTGGGAGGGACCAAAAAGGCCATTTTAGTGGCCAATGCAGCCCCCTTTCCTCGTCTACAGTGAAGCTTTTCAAACTCAAGGAGTGATAGAATGGAGGTTCCACGGACAAATGATTTCTTTCTTTATGCCTCAGGTACTACAGCACTGTCTAGGCCCACCAGGAATCACAGAAAATATAGTTCTTATGGTTCCTACCAATCCCTGGCACCTGCTGTGTTGCCGCATAAAGGATGCTCTAGCTGTCCTACAACCTAAGGCAGAATGTGTAGAAAGTAGATCTTCAGATGCTTGGAACTCCAGTCCCCAGCTTGCCTAACTATTGGCCATTCTCATAAGGGCTTCTGGGAGAGGAAGTCCCACACAACTAGACATCCATGCAACTGTCATGGCCAGCCACCCCAAAGGTGCCCAAGCAGCTACTGAGGGAAGCTAGCAGAAGCTTTTCCCTCTGCCTGCTGCAATGGTGAGATGTTTCCGGTCGACACAGCCTTTTTCCAGGGCCCCTGCTGGCAAAATCCAGCAAGTACCCACCCTGTATATTTTTCATCCAAGGCTTCAGGTAAGTTTATACTCACATTAGAAGCATCTGGCAGGTGTCAAATGTTTGCAAAGCCATCCATGATCATTTTTGCATAAGGGTGGGGGGAATGTCATTCACCACTTTTACAGCAAGATTCTCAGGTTTTTGGCAGGAGCTCATGATCCAAGGAAGCCCTCCGTTTTAGAAAATTAGCAGGGATCCCACATATGGGATTCGTTTTAAAGTGGATCTTAGAAGGGGCTGACATCTTCCTTCTAGGAAGAAAAATATGCAGACTACTAGCCTAACGATATCCAAGTGAGCCAAGTCAGCCAAATTCACTAGCCACACATGACTAGATGGGAGGGAAACGGCAAGCTACAAACACGACCACTCATTGGCAAGCCATTTTAACCTGCATTACAATAATAAAGGCACTATCAGAACAGACTCGGGAATTACCGAGATGCCTTTCTTAACCCTACTAAGAAAGATCTGGCATTATCAAGTCACATTTATTGTTAAAGCAGCTGAAGTTGTATTCATAGATTAAAAGAAAGACCTGCCTGTTTAAGAGCAGGATTAACTATCTCGTGTTGGCTCACACTCCCCAAAGTCATGTTACTGGAAGGGAAGACCGATGTCTTAAATGAAGATGTGCATTGTCTCACATTGTGCTTGCTTCCCACTTACCCTTGAAACACCAACATGGGCTGAGGACATGTTGGAACAGTTCCAGATGAAGTCCTCTTGGCATGACTGTTGACGGCCCCCAAAGCCAACAGCCTGGAGGATCTCAGCTTCACACCCGAGGCCACTTCCAGCTCGGGGAGGCTATTGAGCTGTGCAGGGAAGACTAGTAAGCCAACAGAACCTCCCGTCTGTCCCACTGAGCTGGTATAAGATGAAAACACTCCAGGCCTGTAGTCAGAGGGACTGGAAGTCTGGAGAGAGAGAGAGAGAAAATCCAATCCAATCCAAGACCACAGCAAAACCTACTTCCCAGTCCTCAGTGCTGCCCTGAAACTCCAATGTGTTTGGGCTTCCCCTTGTGCTAGGGCCTGTTTTGGAAAGTAGGCTAAGCCACAGAGAAGTCTGCAAACAGTTGTGGAATGAAGGTTGCACAACCAGCAGCCGTCTTGCATGCCACACACAGCAGCACAAACAGAGGCTGCAGTGTGTGGCACAGAAGAAGGATGAGTGAATGGTGGGCACACTTGCCAGCAACTCAGACCTGCAGCCACATCAAAGTGGACCACAGCTCAGAGAGCCAAGCCGAAGAACGCTTTGACAGATTCCCACCTGCCAAACAGACCCCTCACACATCCCTTCCTTATTTCCCCCTAACTCTCACTACATGGATTCTATGCCCCCACCCCATTCTGGGCCTCAAATCCTTCCTCCCAAGTGCATATTCAAGCTCCTGTGAAGGGAGCTAATCCCCCACTGTAATGTCAAAGTCCTGCACTGTGGAGGAGAGAAGCTACATCACGCCCACCGAGCAAAATCCACAGGTGGAAAGCCCTTGGGTCACATGTCCAGCAAGCTGGAGGCTTGGTAAGCCTGCAGGAAGATCTGTTCTGGGTGGGTTCTGAGCACCCAGAGTCTATAATATAGTGGCTCAGACCTTGGATATTGGAAGGAGAAGAGCAGAGAAGAGCAGAGAAGAGCCATTCCATATTCCATTCTGGGCTTGTACACTGTCCCCAATAGTTCATTTCAGTTGTTTTTAATCTCTCACAACTCAAAGGTTATGGTTCTGTAGTTGTGCAACTTTTTTATTTTTAACTTGCATACCACATGGTTTCCAAAGCCCAAGCTTCTCACAGGCTCTTGAGAACTATTCCTTCCACCCCTGGGATTAAATATTAGTAGCACTTTCAAGTACTAATTGCTTGCGCTACAAGTAAACATCTGAGCAGCACGGCAGAGTCAAGAATTTGGGGCTGGTTTAATTTTGCATGAGCAAATTTCTCTTTGCCCACTAAGCCTGCTGGTGCTGCCAAGGCCACTGGGTTCATAAAAATGCCACCAGTTCACCACCCTGAGCCCTCCAGACTGAGCAGAACATCTCCTGAGTTCTTGCAGTTGGAGCGGGGCTCTAAAAGGCATGTTTACAGGTCAGCTGACAGAGTGCTGTTAACAACAGGCTAGCGATGCACAAGTGCCACTGAGGCATTTCAAAAGGGCAAGCTCTGTGCCACAGAGGGAGGAGGCTTCAGGGCGTGTGCACCTCCAAGCCTGGAGCTTGCACCCCAAGTGAGGTACAGGGGTGGCGATCTCCATCACTGCTGGGCCTCGTGCCCTGATTTTTACAGATTGTTATGCCTTTGCATTGCTCTGTTCCTACCACTTTCATCCCTCTGGATAAAGCACCCAAAGGAAGGAAGGAGACAGGAACTGGCATAAATGCACGGCTCCAGCCTTCTCCCCTCCCTGCCCCCCTTTTCTCCCCTCTGAGCAAACTGATGAGCTTGGGGAGGAAGCAGTGTGGCTCCCCCAGTGCCAGCTGCGGGGGGCGGAGGGCAGGGGCTCAGCTGTCAGAGATTCAGCTCTGAGCTATCCCCACAGGCTAATTGGGCACCTTGCACGTGGCTGCTAACGGCAGGCACCCAACGACTACTTGGAGGGAACAGCAAGGGCTCTCCCCACTCTCCCTAAGGGGCTCACTGGCTGTGGGTCTTACCCACCATGGGTCAAGTTGCCTGGACTTGGACAACAAGCACCATGATTAACAACAACCCAGGAACAGCTACCCTTGATGCAGCAGCTCCTGTTCACACATCACGACAACCCACGTACAAAAACTAACCGTGGTGGTTTGTCAGGTTGTCCGAATCAGCTGTATACCACTACACAAGGGAGCACAGCACTCCACCCTCCAGATGAAGGGTGTTTAGCCTCTTCTAGGTGGGGCTGCACCTCCCTTGAAGGAACCGTTTTGTATCTTGGGGGGCTCCTTGACCCAGCCTTGTCGCTTGAGGCTCAGGTGGCCTTAAGAGCTCAAAGTGCCTCCTACCAGCTTTGGCTGGTGGCCCAGCGGTAGCGATGGCCTGGCTTCAGTCATCTATGGTCCGGTCATCTCTAAATTAGATGACTGCAGTGCACTCTGCGTGGGGCTGCCCTTGGAGACAGTTCAGAAGCTGCAGCTGGTGCAGAATGGGGCAGCCAGATTACTAACCAGGGCCCATAGGTCCAAACACATAAGACCGGTTCTGGCCAACCCACACTGGCTGCCCGTCCGCCTCCATCCCAATTCAAGGTGCTGGTTTTCACCTGTAAAGCTCCACACAGCTAAGGGCCACAAGTCAGAGCGCCTCTCTGACATTATGATCAACTGCTTGGATGTTATGCTCAGCCTCTGGGGACTCCACCGAGGGTCAACTGTGAGGGAAGCATGGAGGGCGGCAACAAGAGGGAGCACGTCCTCTGGGTTGGCCCCCCCTCTGTGGAACAACCTCCCCACTGGGGCCCCTGGCGCCAAATTTGTCATCCTTTCGGCGCCAGGCTGAGACGGCCCTTTAGCCAGAGGCCTTTGAAGACGTACGTGGGGCTTGGGTGGGCGGGGCCCTCCCTGGTGTTTTGGAGAGTCATTCTTTGTTATTGTTTGCTTAGCTGTTTAAAACTGTCTGATTTCCCCCCTGATTTTCTGATATTTTACTGCATTTTATTGTCTGTTTTGTGTATTGTTTGAACCGTCCAGAGAGCACACGAGCAAGCAAGCGAGCAAGCCAGCAACCTCAGCGTGACCAATATTTGTGTGGGCTTTCAGTGGCTTGCAAGAGTCAGTTTCGTTTCACTTCGCTTCGCTTCGTTTCGTTTCTCTAGCACCTTGGTGGAACTTCTTCCTCAGCCAAGCCAGCCAAGGCAGGGAGCTCCCCCTCAGGAAACCCGTGAGCTCTTCAGGAGCACGTGGGGGCTGTGGTTTCACATTTAGGGGCGAGAGGCCTGCTGCTGAAGTGCCCCGTGTCCCTTGCATGCTGCTTGGAGGAAGGCTGCTGAGGGGTGGGCACAGGCTGCGCAGCTGAGCTCACAGACTTGCATAGCCCACCCAGTCATTGTGGGGATGCAAGTGCTTTGCAAACGAAGGGGGGGAAGCAGCAGCCCCATGGCTCCTCCACCAAGTCTGAGGGAAGCGCTCCAGCAAGAGGGCAGCAGTGGGAGGAGACTGGAATGGCCAGGAGACAAGGCCTCCTGTGGCTGCTCCCATCTTCTGCCTTCCCCTGCCGCCTATTAGTTCTTCTTACTGCTACATAAATTGAATGTTTTCACAATTGGCCTTCTTTGCATTCCTTTTATTAT